TGTTTTCGGCAACGAAGCTCCACATCAGTCGACAATTTCTGGTTGGTATGGAGAATTCAAACGTGGACGGGTCTTAGCGACGCCTCCAGGGTGGGTGCACCAAAATTGGCAGTCACCCAGGAAAACGTCGATGCTGTGCGCAAACTCATCATTGAAGATAGACATGTGACATATCGCGAGATTGAGGAGTCCTTGAAGATCTCAAAGACCTCAATTCAAAAAAATTTACATGAATTAGAAGTAAGAAAATTAGTTTCTCGTTGGATACCCCACCTATTGACTGAAGAGCAGAAAGCAGCCAGGGTTAATTGGTGTCTAAAAACGCTTGACCGTTTCAATTCCGGAAAAACAAAAAATGTGTATAGCATTGCTGGTGGTGATGAATCGTGGATATACTGTTATGAACCAGAAAATAAACGACAGTCAGCTGTTTGGGTGTTCCAAGGTGAAGAAAAGCCAACAAAAGTCATCCGTTCTCGAAGTGTTTCGAAAAAGATGGTCGCGACATTTGTATCAAAAGCGGGTCATATTGCAACAATTCCTCTTAATGAGCAAAGAACTGTTACTGCGGATTGGTATACCACCATATGTTTGCCAAGAGTCATCACTGAGCTTCGAAAACCCTGAAAGAAGAATCATCCTCTACCAAGACAATGCAAGCCCGCACACAGCCCAAAAAACAAGGTAGTATTTAACAGTAAAAAAGTGTAATTATTGGACCATCCTCCATATAGTCCCGGTCTACGCCCTAAGGATTTCTTTACTTTCCCGAAAAAACAGACTGCTTGGTCAAAGGTTCCAGTCACCAGAAGAAGCAGTTGACGCATTCAAAAATGCCGTTTTGGATCTGCCAGAAAACGAGTGGAATAAGTGCTTCGAAAATTGGTTCGAGCACATGCGGATGTGTATTAATTTCGTGCAGAGTACTTCGAAAAACAATAAAGTCATTTAAAACTACCCGCCTTAAATGGGGTCCTGTGTATGATGTTCCATTTTTGGCCACAAGTTGTGAATCACCCAACTTGGAATATACTCAAAAATAGCTCAACATACATAATTATAATTACCTTTGTATATCATTTATAAAAATTAAGTTTATATTATTGTTAGCTGAAGTTCCAATAGCCAATAATGGTCCTTCATCTAATATAGCCACTTTCCATATTCTATCTTGTAGATTATTTCCATATGTTAAGGCCACCTAATTCGTTTCTATATTTCGTTTCCATACTTTGAACCAGTTGTCTCTAGCTATTGATACTACTATATTTTCATTTGTATTGATATCTACAGAGTTTACATCTGATTCATGGCATGATCTTAAGAACCTTGATGATCTTTGTACAGTATTGTTTATACATAAACTGCCATCCCTTAAAACTCTCAAAAGTTAATACATTCATGAGACTACATTATTTTCAATTACCTCAAACCACAAACTAAAGTGTTTCCTTTCTTTTTTAAATATGCAACATCTGAATTTGTTTCTCGATGGTAATAATAAATTGGTTTCAGTTTTACATAGGATCCTTTTCTGTGGTAACAAAATCCAAAGCGGCCTCTGCTTAGCCAAATACATTTTTCTTCCAGCTGTAACCATGGCATGAATTTCTTCTTAACACACAGTAATGACTTTTCATAGTACAGGGTGGGGCAAAAGTCACGAAGGGATTTGAAAAATTAATAACTTTTTTAAATTTATTTTGTTTTCATTTTTTTTTCAGGACCGTGTAAAATAAATCCTGGAGATTAATTATGGAGCGTTACAACCTCAATCAACGAACCAAACTTATAGAATTTTATTTTGAATATCACCATTCAATAATTCAAACTCAACGAGCATATCGTCGTCATCTCAATTTGCGGAATTCGCCCTCTGAATCAATGATTCGACGCTTAGTGGCACGATTTCAGCAACAAGGCACAGTTATGGATCTCCCACGAAGCGGAAGGCCACGTTCCGCAAGAAATGAAGGGAACATTCAACGCGTTCAGGAGAGTGTTCAGGAGAATCCGGAAACCCCAACCCGAAGACGTTCTGCTGAGCTGCAGATGTCTCAAAGGTCTTTACGCAGAATATTAAGAGGAAATTTACATCTGTTTCCATATAAAGTGCAGCTAGTGCAAGAACTAAAACCAGCAGATTTTCAAGAACGACTAACTTATGCAGTTCGCTTGCAAAGAATGGCTCGAGAAGATAATGAATTTATTCATTCTCTGATCATGAGCGATGAAGCCCATTTTCATTTGAATGGCTTCGTAAATAAGCAGAACTGCAGAATATGGGGTACCGAGAACCCAAGGGTGGTTCATCAAAGGCAATTACATCCGCTTAAATGTACAGTATGGTGCGCAGTTACGTCTCAACGAATTATTGGACCATTCTTCTTCGAAGACCACGATGGGAATGCTGTATCTGTAGATGGCGACCGATATCGTGATATGATTCAAAATTTCTTAAGACCAGCTCTTGCTGACAATCAAACGATGACTTTCCAACAAGATGGAGCCACTGCGCATACTGCTCGAGCCACTATGCACCTTCTAAGGCAGATTTTTGGCGAACGTTTAATTTCGAGAAATTCAGGATTCAATTGGCCCGCCCGCTCGCCGGACTTAACAGCCCCTGATTATTTCCTTTGGGGATATCTGAAAGGAAAAGTGTATATTAATAAACCCACAACCCTGCAGCAACTAAAAGATAATATTCGAGCAGAAGTAAGTGCTTTGGGGCCAGATATTCTGACTCGGGTAATGGAAAATGCTCTTGCAAGAGCTGCACTTTGCGAGGCTGAAAATGGCGGTCATTTGCGTGATGTAATCTTTCACACTTAAATTGTAAACAAACTCCAAACATTGCATTTTAGTTTTGTGTTAGGGAAAAAAATTAAAATTAAAATTTAAAAAAGTTATTAATTTTTCAAATCCCTTCGCGACTTTTGCCCCACCCTGTATTTACCTATAGTCCAATTTTTTGATATTCTCAGTTTCTCCAGAGTTGTCAATTTATGAGAGCATCTACAAATGTTGATAAACCAGTTTAAACAATCCTAAATAATCTAATTTGATAATCCATTACTTTGAAAGGAATATATTGCTCATCTGATTTGTTTCCAAAGATAATTTGGTCCCAAGAACTGATGATTGAATTGAATCTTCTGCATGTTTGCTTTAAGCGACATAAATCAGGAATATCCGCATAGCTGAAAATTTTTATCAGCAATTCTGTTGACAAACCACTCAAGTTCGAATTGGAAACCATTGGAATAGATTGGAATAATCTTCCCAGATGAACACTGCATTGTTTTTATCTAATGCCTTCAAAGAATCAGATTCGGAGCATTATTGATGATCCTATATTATAAAATCTGTAATAGATAGTATTTTTCATTTCATTGGAAGCTTGAGTTTTTAAGCCACAATCTTAACCACTTTTTAACATGCTCTTGTTCCCACAAAACGTTTACACTGATTTGTTCGGTTTGTTCCTAGAAGCACAAAACGAAACACATCCACTGATGTTTGAAGATCACAGACAATGTTGCCAGGTTCAAAAAATAAAAATCACTAGAAATTTTGCTAAAAAATCACTAGATTGAATAAAAATCATTAGATTTCTTATTTATATATTTTTTTATGTGTAGAGGTGAATAATAAAATATTTTTTTTAATGTTTAAGGCTTCACTTTTAAAAACAAACAACAAATACGTACATTGGAACAGACACTTAAAAGAAACCATAAATATAAACAGTCAAAAGTAATAAAACACCAAATATATTTGAAAGCTTAAAAACGTAACAATAAACATGAAATTAAATATAAGTTACTTAAAACTACATTAACCTAAACGAATTTAAAAAAGAATGATTTTCTTTCGACTACATATTATTATGTAAAAAGACTCTTAGATCACTCTTAAAACAAACAACAAAAACGTAAATTTGAACAGACTCTTAAAAGAAGCCACAAATACAAAACCATCAGACAAAAGTAACAAAACACCAAATATATTTCAAAGCTTAAAAACGTAACAATAAAAACGAAATTAAATATAGCTTATTTAAAACTACATTAAAATAAACAAATTTAAAAAGAATGATATTAATGATATCTAATCTAATATAATATAATATAATATATATATATATATATATATAATATATAATATATATAATGTGATATATAATCTTTTATGAACTAATAACCGCGTTGTGTAGAAAATCCAGAGTCAACCTACTTCACGCCATTTTTTATGGTTTTCACCTCAAAGAATAAAAACATCTCTTCACGCTGATATTGACATAATAGCGATATTGTTATAATCATGCAGAGAAACGGTTTTTATTTTTTAAAACCAAAACCTTCGATCGGATTGAATTAACAAGTGATCAAATTTGCTTATAAATAACAAGGGATCTCAGAACTATATTTTATTTTAAGAGAGAGGGCTGGCTTCCGAGTTTTGTGCGCCCTGTGGCAAAGAGTAAAATATGCGTCCGGTGAGAGGTTTCTACTGGTGAAGAAACATTTTCTCGGCTGCATAAGAGCGGGGGGGGGGGAGGTTCGGCTGCATCGGTGCTAATGCCTTGGTGGGGGTTGGCATTGGCTGGTCGGTCGTCTCGACTCTAGACTCACCCAGTGGGGACCTGTTAAAAAAAATCCGTGGCATACCATCAATGTCTGCCAAAATGAGCAGGAGGAATTCTGTACAAGGGCCACTGGTTGAAATTAAAACATGTCGTACATTAAAAAGTGCCTCTTGGTGCATAGTACATGCATGCCGAATTTCACTAAAACATCTAAAGTGATATTTACAGATATCAATAATAAAATATTTATTTTTGGAAAATTTTACCACCCTATATCTCACATGTTAATACCTTTAGGGCATACGTTCATACGAATTTTTCTTCTTAAACTGAAACCAAAACTCGTTCCGTAAATATTGACGATCAGTTACGTATATTAATTTCCTACACGTTATATTTGCGTTTACAGGTGGTTGGGCTGCAGTTCGATAGAAAAAGCATACCGATGAACAAACTAGTGGCCACCACGTTAGAGTCAAAAATCTATTGCTTTGACGTGCGGACGCACCATCCCAAAAAGGGTTTCGCTTACGTCACAGAGAAATCCCATGACTCCACGGTGTGGTCCGTAAAGCATCTGCCGCAAAACAGGGAAGTATTCATGACCACTGGAGGTTCTGGATCTCTGTGTTTGTGGAAATAGTGAGTAATTATTTGATATTATACAATTCAAGCACCACACGGAGTCGGTAGAACTGATTCTGTCTGCTTTCCGTCTCTGTGACCAAGATCAACCGTATACAACGTTGTTTCATTGTTATTAGCAATAATCACTACACTATAGTCATGGGCACCCATATAGCAAAATCCAGAGGGTGTGTTTGGTTTACAGGTTGTGCAGGTTCAAAAATGCTGAGATTTAGCCAACCCGTTGGAGGAGGCGGCGGTGCGGATGACTAGATCGATTTGTGAAGTTCTGGAGCGGGGGGAAGTGGTGCTTCTGCCTCCCCAAAATATAGCAAAATGCTCCTTTTTATTGGATCAACATTTAGCAAGAGTTTATATGATTCGAATTTGTGCGATAAAGAACGGTAGTAATTGATCGTTACGTTGTAGAACGGAAGCGAAGGCACAAAAACGGTAAATCTGGATTATCTGATTGTAGGCGTAGTCAACAAATTTTATATGTGGGCATTTTAAATAGTAAAAAGAGTTTTTAAATTACTTAGGCCTCGGGGCCTCAGGCCGTATGCAAAATTTATTGATTACCTAACCGTTGAGGTTTTGTAAATGCGTTCTTTGTGTCGAATCAGACAGATTTTTGTGTGCCAAAGAACCGCAGCGGCGGAGCATTTTTATACAGACGATTCTTAACTTTGAGGCATCGGACAGAAGACATCCCCCATAAGTATGTCTAACAATAGTACCTTTCGATTTTACACATTTTTATGATCTATTTTTCAAAATCTCAACTGTCAGGTAATTGACTTTATGACGTCGTACCTGCTCCAATATAACAAGTGATTACCTAAAAAAATTAATTACCTCACAGTTGGGGTCTTGGAGAATAGATCAGGAAAAATATGTAAAATCGAGTACTACTATTGTCGAAAAAAATATGGGGCGGATACCTGCTATCCGACTTGCAACAATTCATGTTATATATTTATTAATACGCACACAAACGCAAAACAAAAAGTAATACTTTTCATTTTTGCAATAATTTAAATAAGTTATATTAATTCTCGCATCAAAAAAGCAGGTACAAAAAGATAGGTGAGGCCATTTAACAAAGAAGTACCACAAAGACTAGTAAGACTACAATAATAAGTCGCGTTATGCACGATTTTTTCTAACAACGCTGCAATCAGCAATCAAATACAAAACGCATAATTGAATCGTGCCCATCATCCACTTAACACCGTTGTCTGGCCGCCAATCGCCAATCTAACGCTACACGATACACGTGCACTGAAGACAGGATGTTGCGCATGTCGGCGGAGCTTCGTGACGTCACCTTGAGAGTTGTCGGCTCGTGGTTACGAGGTAGGATTCTCGTAACGTTACTGTAGTGCACGTATATTGTGGTTAATACTATATAGTGCGATTTGTTGGTCATTTTTGGTGGTTTTGTTACTTGTATTAGTTATATCAATCAACCACATATACCCTATGTGGTTGATAAATTGATAAAAATGCGGTGTGCTTTGTAGGATGTAATTCCGACATCTAAACGGAATCCTTGCAAAGAAATAAAGTTCCACAGTTTTCCTTAAAACCCAAGCATCAGCAAAAAAAAGGCTACATCTTACAAAAAGAAAACACAAAGTCAATGTAAAAGGGTTAGCTCGAAAATGCTCCTAGAGGATCTAAAACGACGCTTCAGCGTAAAAAAACCTGTTAACAAGACATCTTAATCAAGATGTGATAAGAAACGTTTGCGGAGTAATTAGGGCAAAAGGTATCCTTCATGACCATCCAAATCCCCTAGAGTTTAAGTATAGAATAAGGTCATATATTTTGGGGCGAAACGAAAGCGCATTCTCAGAGTATTACAGCGTAGACCTTCCACTAACCGCATCATTAACGAATAAAATGAATGCACCTGAAGTATGCGCTGACTATAACGAGGAAGATTTAGTGAAAGAAGTAGAGAAGCTCGAGTTTGACGGGCTGGAAAATTTGGCCGACTTTGTTTGCCAAAAATTGCAGGATGAGAGCTTGAAAAGTTCCTCAAATGAAAGTTATTCCTGGGTGGTAGACCATCTTAGTGAGTGTGGATTATCAAAAGCTACCACAGCTTTCATGAATCAAATTTAGAAGCTGAAAAAAGTGTTTGGGGACGGAATAATGACAGAAAAGAAAAATTTTATAGGCGAACTTCTGTGGAAGAGCAGCAACATTGACTGCCCTGGAAAAGCTAAAAAACTATTTTCCAGGTCGAAGATGTTCTTCCGGATCCAAGAACTGAATAGAAGTTTGAAAGACCAGAAAAATAGTAAAAGGAAATGGAGAAAAATTGATGGTTAGACTAAGTCATTTCCATTTACTGTTATACCGCGAGCTTACTGCAAAAAGAAGACAATTATTTTTTTCTACTTTTCGAGCTGCGTACATTTTCACACCTTAAAAAATTTAAACAAGTACTATTTCCTCTTGCCGCTACCTAACTGTATACAAAATTTCATCCAAATAAAGTCGTTTATACTAAATGTTCTATATTTTTGTCGCTGAGTATATTTCTAGATCCTGCCACGTGATCTAGATTGAAGAGTAAGATAACTGTATGGGTTAAAGATCGTTTTTATCGTGGACACTAGATATTATTTTTTTAGGAAATATTTTCCACTGCTCATACTAGAATATTTTTTGCGTAAACTGGAAATTTCAAGATATTTATCTCCTCTTGAACTCTTTCAATTAACGCTAGGGTATCGCAGTCAGAGACAAAATGCGAAGGGTTCTGAATGTGGACACAACATGGACATCAAACGAGGGTTTAGGGGCTGTGACCACCTCTATGCCTTCTGGGAGAACAGATGCAACTGTCGGAGGAGGTCAAATATCTAGTCTCCAAACTGACCAGAAACCGGCAGATCAAACGCTTCAAAAGGAGAGCGGAGTCGACTTTGATGTTGACCAGACGCTCTCATGACAAACATGGGGATTGAGCACTGGACGTACATAATGGTGATAAGACCCAAATTAACTTATGCAGCTCTGATATGGTGGCCAAAGATGAGACAACTCTCTGCAATTGCAGAATTAAGCAAGGTACAAATACTTGCTTGCATGTCGATAATAGGTGCAAAGAAGAGCGCTCCAATTGCAGCACATGAGACCACGCTGGACCTCCCACCGTTACATTATGTAATAATGGGGGAGACAAGAATGGGCCACTCCAGGCTACAGTCACAACCAAAGAGGTCTTGGACATAATCAAATAAGAAAAGATGTGGGAAGTGGCAAATTCGATGTGAGGAGAGACCACATAGTTTCCAGATTTGAAATCAATAAGAAGTTCGAGACCACAATGGGAGATCGAACGAAACACCAAAGGTACAACCAGCAAGGGACAATTACCTGGTACACAAATGTATAACAATAAAAGGATCTCCATATTCACTGACAGCCAGGCGTCACTCATAGCGTTAGGAATCTTAACGTTATGAGTGACATCTGCACTGATCTGGGAATACCAACAGAACTGAAGACGCTGGAGGAACACAACAGAGTAACACTGATGTGGGTGTCAGGACACTGAGGTAACGCGGGAAATGAAAGGGCTGATGAGCTCGCAAGGAAAGGATCTTCCACACCCTATACAGGCTCAGAACCTGCCTTGGAGGTGCCCAAAAACCACAATAAGGAACCAAGTAAAAAACTGGGTCAGAAACCAGCACAAGGAGCATTGGCACTTACTGACTAGATGAAGGCATGGGAATGAATAAGCTCCTAATAAGTAGAAACCAACTCCGTGCAGTTACAGTGCTACTAACAGATCACAATGGCCTGAACTACATACATTTATATACGCAAACTGCAGTTGCGATTATAATTATTCACATATTTTTCTGTTTATAACAAAATGTATATTCCCTTTTCAGCAATTACCCATTGAAGACGGTTGAAAAGGATTCAGATGGATTGAGCTATGGTGTGGCAGGTGAAATGAATCTGATACAGAACTGCACCTTAACAGAACATCCAATTACATCGTTTGATTGGTGCGTCGATAAGATCGGGCTAGCTGTTTGTTCGTCTTTCGATCAATCTATACGAGTTCTTATCACCACAAAGCTTCATCAGTATTGACAGCCAAGACTTAATGATATTATATGTTTATATTATTGAATATGAATGAAATAAAGGTTTTTCTGTTTGTGTAGTTCTTCAGATACTCTTCTGAACGTGTTTCAATAACATTATAACACTATAACGCACAGGCCGCTTCAGAATGAAAAATCTAGTAAAACAGACCAGTCGAATTGTTTACACTTTTGAAGGTAGACGTATCAGATCATCAATTGTCGCTACCTAAGAGATGCATCATTAGAGGTGGATGCCTCGAACCTTAGGTCGCACTGTTTGGATGAGAAATAGCCAAGCTTACTCAGAGGTCTATGCATTCCACTGTTTTGATCGATAACTATGTATGGGTTAGAAAAGTATTATTCCTTATACACTTTATTTCAAACATGTACCGCAGTTGGGGAAAAAATCTCACAGGGTTCTCTCGAATGAGGTGCTTGTTTTTAGATCCCGATGAAGGTGTCACCATTAATTAACCGTCATATACAGGAAAAATTAGTGTCTTAATTTCTTTTACAATTATCTTTGATTTCCACCAGTGGTGATAAAATGACCATATTCTGAGTTATTGTTACATTTTGCGACAGCAAACTAGATGGGTACTGACCAAAGTCGCTCATCTACGATCATGGATGTGGAAACCTTGCCTTGGAATGTGCGAGATACGGTGTTACCAAGCGGACCAATGATGCAATGGTGTAGAATTTGTAGCGATCCTGACATTTCATTTCGACCTAAAATGAAGCGCCGTTAGGACCAACCCGGGATCTTTTCCTAAACATATTCGACAAAATTCATAATTCAAAAATGCGTACGCTCACAATGAAACCATTATTTGGGCATCGAGAATGTACTAACGCATATTTTCAACATGCATCTTAGTTCAACGAACTGGTGCAACATATTGGCAAGGCGGGACGTTGCCGCGTCAGCGTTGCTAAGCAACACGGTGATGAGGTTCGCTATCCAGCAGGCTTCTAGCTCTTTCAAACATACGTGTCTATACACATTTCTCTCTTGTACACATTGAACTCAACCCGTCACACAAGTTTGGTTTTCACTCTATACCGTGCGAATCATTTACGGTTGAGGTCGGCCGAGTTTCAATGTGTACAAAAGTAAATAGAGAGAAGCGTACAACACGTATGTTAGAAAGAGTTAGAAATAGTGCCTCGTAACTCTTCGCGCTTGGTGGTGATTACTTCTCTCTCTACTACATCTTCATAACTCTCCTCTCAAGAGGATAGTTGCGAATAGAATGATTGCAACATTTAATATATCAAGCACCCCACGCTTTTTATTCTGAATTGAATTATTCTGTTAATAACTTAAATTTTACTATAATTTTATTTTGAGGTCATTAATTGTGATTGATTGTCCGACCATCTACTACTGTAATATAATCTCTTTGTAATTAAAAATTATTTTCTGCTTTTTAGTTCGGTTAGCTATAAAAGCGTGATTTTTTTAGTTTTTTTAAACTATTATTTATTTATCCGTAGCTTCGCCGCCGATGGATGTATTTATACAAATTTTCCATCTGTGGCATCCTCATTTCAATCCGTAGAGTATTTTTAAGGTTACATAGAAGTTAATTGGTGCATGTTCACTGTTTTGAATTTTTTTCCACAGACAGTCTCGACCGTCGAATTGAAAACAGTACGCGCTTACAGCTGAAAATTTAAATCCGGAGTAGTGCATCATTTTTCGTTAATGACTAAAGCATGGTTCTTAATCTAAGGCGTCTCAAATAATGTTGCATTTTTTGTGTTTTGAATGGAATTTATAGTTTCAGATCCATTTCCTACTTAAGGGTATTGTTTCATATACCATCGTTATGAAATCAATAGTCTTAAACGATCAAGGACTTAATAAGTTACTTGAGTGCTACTCAATTTGTTTATAGAGTTTTGTTATCACAAAGTTACAAATTGCTGATTTCTTATACAAACGCAGTAGTTATATTTCAAATCTTGATAATAAAAAGATACTAGATTTATGGAAAATATTTTTGATATCATGCTATCAAGCTCTTGATACAATCATCAAGAAGGTATTTGGGGTTTTCCATTTTTCACTAAGCTGAAACAAGTTGTAACTTATAAGTTCAATTGCTCAATTCACTTTTTATCCTGAAGGTATGATCTTAAAATTTGCTTTCAATATTATTATCAGATTTGATGTATTATGGTGTACTCAATTTTGTCTGCACCTGAGTGCAAGCTTGGCAATTATGCACCGGTGTGAAGTTGGCAGACAAAATTTAGCGGACAATTTGCCGAAGATACCCGAATGACCAGTGGCGTCAACATCCTCGACTAGACTGTGATTGTGAAGGATACAGCTAACAGCTCGCAACAATAAATATATATGCACGAGAATAAGCACCCCCATAGGAAGAAAAATTTTCCACCTCAATTACATAATTCGCAGGAACAAGACTTGACCCAAAACCGTTCTTCGAATTTTCACTTACAGAATATTGTATATATGGTATTGAAAGTAATTAATGAGCTAAATGGCATATACTTAGAAAGTCTCTAAAAGGGTGGTAGAGAAAAAAATATAAATAAAACTTCATTTGCCCCGCCAAAATAATGATTCCTCAAAAAAGTTTATATCTCAAAAAAATACTCTATTACAGAGACAATTCATGGGCTAGGTGGAATGTTGTGAGATAGCTTCTGAAAGGCTGGCAGATAAAAAAATATGTTTATAAATTCATTTTCGCCCCCAAGGAAATGATTCCCTAAAATCTGTTGTACCTCAAAAAATACTCTATTATAGAGGCAATTTATAGGCTAGGTGGCATGGTGTGAGAAAGCTTCTGAAAGGCTGGCAGATAAAAAAATATGTTTATAAATTCATTTTCACCCCCAAGGAAATGATTCTCCAAAATCAGTTGTACCTCAAAAAAAAAACTCTATTATAGAGACATTTCATAGGCTAGGTGGCATGGTGTGGGTAAGCTTCTGAAAAGCTACAGATAAAAAATATGTTTGTGAATTGAATTTTATAAACATATATTTTTGTCTGCCACCCTTTCGGAAGCTTTTTCACCCCATGCCACCCAGCCTATAAATTGTCTCTATAATAGAGTATTGCTTTGAGCTACAACTGATTTTGGGAATCATTTCCCTTGGGGTGAAAATGAATTTATAAATTTATTTTTTTAGCTGCTACCCCTTCAGAAGCTTTCTCACAGCATGCCACCTAGCCTATCAGTTGTCTCTATAATAGAGTATTTTTTTGAGGTACAACTGATTTTGGGGAATCATTTCCTTGGGGGTGAAAATGAATTTATAACCATATTTTTTTATCTGCCAGCCTTTCAGAAGCTTTCTCACACCATGCCACCTAGCCTATAAATTGTCTCTATATTAGAGTATTTTTTTGAGGTAAACTCATTTTGGGGAATCATTTGCTTGGGGGTGAAAATAAATTTTTAATTATGTTTTCTTATCTGCCACCCCTTTAGAGATTTTCTTAGTATTATGCTATTTAGCTCATTAACTACTTTCAATACCATATATACAATAATCCGTAAGTGAAAATTCGAAGAAAGGTTTTGAGTTAACTCTTGTTAGTGCGAATTATTTAATTGGGGTGGAAAATGATTCTTCCTATAGGGGTGCTTATTCTCGTGCATATATATTTATTGTTGGAAGCTGTTAGCTGTATCGTTCACAATCACAGTCCTGTCGAGGATGTCGACGCCACTGGTCATTCGGGTATCTTCGGTAAATTGTCTGCTAAGTTTTGTCTGCCAACTTCACACCGGTCACTCGTCAAGCCAAACCAAAATTTTTTTTCTGGCAAATGTGACAGATCCGTGGCTCGAATAATGAGATAAGGAGGAACTGAATTTTGTCGCATAAGATCTTAATATCTCCATCTTTATAATGACGTACAATTTATGGAATGTTATACTGCTTTGAATTTCACGGTAAATAATTGACACATTTCTGACACACACAAATTAATAGGTTTCCACATCCATCCATCTCAGTGTACGGACGTGTATTATTTTTTTCTCTGTGTAATTTGATGTCACGCTATATATATGTACATCCTATATATTACTATCAATTTTTGTCGTGAGTGATACCTAAGTACCAGGAATCCTTTGTGAGTACGCTATTTGAGATTTAATCAGTATATTCTAGGCGATATCAGTTTATTTATGTATTTCTATTGTGATCAGCCATACACCAGAGCGTAATCAACACCAGACCTGTGCTGACCTTCACTTTTTTCTTTTTTTTATTATTATTCTGCCACACGCCGTGCGTCCCGTTCGTCGTCCTCAAATTTTTCTGACAGCTATTGTGAGTCGACTGTGCGATATCTCGTTCGTCTTCGACATTTGTTTTGCGCCGCGGATTCTATCCTTTCTCTCTTTCTCTCATTCTTCCTCTCCGTGGTCTACCTATCTGTCTTAAGTCTCTATTACCGACCCAATAGAGTGAAGCGTGTTTTCCCATATCCTTTCCTCACCATTATGTAGAGTGAGTGTAGAAAGTATTCGTACACTTGGATTTCTAAGCGAAAGACTGCAATGTCTCTCTAATTATTGTTGCTAGACATCTGCAAAAAAATAGACATCTACATCAAAGTATTCTTTATTCAATCTGATTGATCATTCGAAAACAAAACAAAATAGTCTCTAGAGGAAATAACAACTCACAAAAATCTACCTGGAAGGCGAAAAAAAAGTATTCGTACACATGTGATTTTTCGTCATATGTAAATTGTCAGTCTTGCACATGATACATGAACATCACAACAATTTAGTACTTGGTTGGGTACCCCTTTCCTTTCAAAACACTCTCATACCGTTTTGGCACGGAGTCTACCAGCCTAGACGTCAGTGAAGGGGGTATGCGGTTCCACTCGGTCAGTAAAGCAGTTTTCAGATCCCCTCTGTTAGAGATCTGCCAATTTTCCCTTATTTTTGTCTCTAGGTAACTCCATAAATGTTCTATGGGGTTCAAGTCCGGTGATTGGGGTGGGGTATTTAGCTGCTTGGGGGTGTTGTACAGCAGCCACATTTTCGTATTTGTTGCGGTATGTTTT